TATACATTCGTTGTCCTTCCAATCTATCTAAAGTAGCTTAAATGATTGTATGAATATACAGATGTACATAATTTGATAATTTCATTGGTATTCAAAACCTACAGATTTTCATGAAGTCATCATTCTTTTTCAAATATAGAATGGCTACTGTAGCTTAACATTTTTTGTGGTAGGACAAGGAGATTCGAAAATGATTACCTAATAAAATAATATGTTGTATCCATGGTTGCTATATTTAGATTGTTTCCATGATATATTTTCATCAAATATACTGTATGTTGGCTTCAATTCTGGTTCTTCTGTCTGCCTTCATCAGCAATGAACGCAGAATACCCTGAAAGATATCTTTCTGTCCATTGTACTAGAAAGACCATTTGTAGATGTTATGAAGATACTCCTTTTACTTATATAGTAATCACCAAAGTTAACTTGACATAGCAACATCAGCCAATTCAATTTCAGTCCTTATCTTGCACTCTGGTTTCACTATGAGAAAACAACAAAGGGACAGTTGTCATTTGGCTTCATGATAGCCTGTTGAAATTTCTTGTTAGCTCCTGTCCCAATACAAAGAAGTTACTAAAGAACAGTTTTAAACTTGTTCACCAAAAAACCTTAGAATAATAACATGCTAATGTTTTTTTTTCTTTTGTGGAATGGCTGTTATAATTATTTGCCAGTGCAGAGGAATTTCTAAAACCCCAAAGGTAGTATGAACTGGCATATAGAAATGAAATATAACATAACATAAAAGCCCTTTACATTTGTGTTTGGATATTGCTACCAAGTCAAGATAAAAATAAGTCACATAGATGCTACATTGACTTGAAATTGCATTAGATTAACTGAAATTAGAGAGATTGTTACATATTACCATCAATATTAGCAATGTTAATCATTTTGGTCAAAATGTTTTTGGAGAAATTGGAAAAATTGCTCAGCAATGTTTCATCTTTATGAGGTGCATAGATTTAATATAGCAGAACAATGGATACTATTTTTTGAATCAATGTTATTAAAACCGTGATAATCTGAAAAATTAAGTAAACAATAATTAGCCTTGAAAAATCCTTCAATTTTTATTATTATTATTATTATTACTATTATTATTATTAAATATAGTCCCAGTTTCTGAAGTATAACAATAAAATGATTCTCTGCATATTCTATTTTTAACAAAATAGGTGTATTCATTTACTAAATATAAGCACTCAAGGCCTAACTTTCAGTAAGATATATGGCCATTCATTTATAATCTATTTATCAAAGAGTGTATATCAATATCCATGCAAATAGATGTACACAAAATTTGACAAGAGGAAATACGCTAAATATAGCCATTTAAAATTTCATGTTGTTCCTTCAGACTAGAAGTATATTCTATACACTTCCAAGTTCTGTTTTAATAATGGCACATGGAGAAGGCAGGTATTTATTTGATTTTGTTAGGATTTCTTTAGGGTGATTTTAGTGCTTATTGATAATTTTTGTTTAAAGAAAAAATAATATCATATGAAAATTAGTAGAGGTAGTCATAGTTAAGGAGTATTTTTCAGCAATGGAAGAGAGGGAAAGCATAATCAAGAGAGAAATAAGAAATAGCAAGTTCCAGGGGAGGAGAATAGGGCACTTTTCTGGTAGGAGTTTACATAAAACGATTCCCATGAGTAGGACTATGTCTTCACAGAAGGAGAGTTGATTTAACAGATGAGATTAGTCCTTAAATTGTGCCAGTACCCAATGACACAGTTCAAGGGCAGATGGACATGCTGTTAAACAAAATGGGTCTTGTGGTCATGCATCGTTTTATTTTTAAGGATGCCAATAGAGCATTGAGGAACTTGGAGAAATAAAAGTGTTAAAGTGTAAGTTGCCACTAGCATGCCCAGTTCTCATTTAAAATCATTCTCATCTGAAACTCAATCAGACTGAGCAAGAAACTTGGGGAAAATTAAAAAGTATCTCCAGCCACAGTCCATAGGTTGCCTACCATGAAATGGGTCTTGTGGTCATGCATCATTTTATTAGATAGAGAATGCATTCTGTTAGTGTATATGTTATTAATGCAACTATAACTATATAAAAATATCAATAAAAAAGGAAAAGGGGAAATGACAAAAATATGAGGCACACAGAAAAGAGCAAGAAGAGAAATAAAAACTCTGACTTCAAACATTCCTGAAAAATTGTCCCTTTTATTCCTTGTCAAGCTGAATTTAAGGGGGAAAAAGTACTTTTGCAGTTTCTAATCTTCTAATTACCTTCCTTTTCTATTGTTATCTTTTACATTTTTTATTCTCCCTGTACTATTCTTACTTGATAATACTGATATATGAATTAGGCACCCAATCATGTAAGTAGGTTTCCATAGTGACATACAGAACTAACTTTTGACCCAAGTCTAACTTAATTGCAAGTGTAGCAAAAATATCAGTTACTGGGGTCATCATGATGAACCTGCTATCACTACACTCTTCTTTGCTAGCATTGCAATCTTTGGAGAAAGATCATAAAAAACTGGCTGGGCAAATGAGTACCCAGGAACCTTCCTAATAACTATAATTTCCCCTAAAACCATAAAAGAATTATATTAAAAGCTTAATAAAACTGCCAGCTGGCTCTTTTTGATGTAAAAGTCTCTGTCTCCAAAAGGAAATGAATGAAGAGGATGTTTGTTTGTTTCATGTGGCCAGGATGTAATTTGTTCTGTGCCTGGAGAAATCCCACATTACCAGGCCATAAGCTAATGTACAGAATGTACAGACACATCTTTATGTGTCTTTTATAAAATACGATATTTATAAAGAAAATAGCTGAATTCATTTTCAGGCGGCAGCACGTAATTGCTACTAAGATAAGAGGCAGTTTTTTTAAAAAACAGTCCTTTATCCTTTGTAGGCCTCAAACAACGATTGGCTTGCCATGAATGACATCTAGCACAATTGGCTGAGGAGCACCCTCTGGACAAGGTGCTAGTTTCACATGGGCATAGCATAAGTGAGGAAGGGCAGCATTTTCATTGCAGGTGTGATGCAGGAAAAGCAAAGTTAAATCTTTATAAATAGTATTTGGAATAAACAGGCAGATAGTGTGCATTCTGTTGGGTTGGACAAGTTGAAAGATATCTCTTTTTCTCATACCCCTTTGTTTGTAATAAAGGTAGATCTAGACAATTGCATTACTAATGGGAGCATTTAAGCATTGAGAAGAAAGATAAGCAGTGAGCATCAGTGTATTTTTTGAAGGACATCATAATATTTCATCTGATACCACATCTCCAGTATTCTTTAGTAGATCTGAGGGTTCTTCTCATTCAATAAAGGCTTTCCTTAGTGATGCTGAAAATCAAGAATTGCTGTTAGTATAGAACAGCAAAAATCATTTTGTGCACTGCAGAATAATCTGTTCAGGAGGCACTTGGGTTGATTTTATAAAACCAAACAAGTGTAAGTCTTACAACATTCTGTAAAACATAAAAAAGAAAATCTGAAAGATGATAGGCAGTAATTACTTTAGAGCAGAAGCAGGCAGCTGCTTGGTGCCCATTTAATGTATTTAATAGCCAGTAGTGGTACTAAGTAGACCTATGATGTCATTGTGAGTGAAGCCCACAAGAAGGATGAGAAAAAATATTTAAAATTACCAGGAAATACTAGTTATTTTTAATTTACAATAATAATGACCTAGGCTAAATGATGTAGTGGTTATCATTCCCATAATTAACTCCATGCCCTTTTGTTAGGAAGTATTGAAATGTTATATGCCAATAAATGAATTTGTCACTGACTGCTTCTCTCATTGTAATGTATAACTTCCTGACGAATTTCTACTGTTTTCCTAGAACAGGGGTGTCAAACTCGCGTTGTAATGGCATTGTCACGTGATATATCATGATTTCCCCCCTTCGCTAAACCAGGTGTGGTCTTGACCAGCGCGTGATGTATCTGGCCCGTGGGCCTTGAGTTTGACACCCCTGTCCTAGAACATTACGTCATCTCATATTCATTTGAAATTGTCTATCTTTCATTGTCTCAGGTTAAATCCATCTTTGAATAATAGATAATGTTGCCTCCAGAACAGCTCCAGCACATAGTATGCTCTAGTATCATTCACTTAGGAGGCTGAAGCAATATAAAGTTACCAGATACTGAAATGATGAGAAGTAGAAAACTTATTTCCAGTGTGAGAGGAACGTACTGGAGACTTCCTAGGATCCTTTACTAAGTATTTCTAAAAGTTTTGATGTTGCAATAGCAGCAATATTCAGCATTACTAATTAGTGCCATAATTGAAACTGAAGAATTATTTTTACAAACTCTCAAAGTTATTATAGACTGCTGGGGAAAAACCATGCAGCCATTTTGAAAGCATTCAAACTTCAACATAATCACTTGACACATTGCCAAAGTAGCTACAGTGGTACAATCAGGCAACCTTTTATTTACATGTAACCTGTTTTCTTGAATCGAACATAGTATGCTTTCTTGATAATAATATTTAGAGCAATGATAATCAAGATATTGTATATGGCATCAGAATAAAAGAAGTTACACAGTTGTTTATTTCATCATATTAAATTCTAATTCCTTCTCATGATTGAACTTGCTATAGAACCAAAATCTAAAATAGGAAATTTTAAATGAGCATCTAATGAAATTGATTTGCTTCATCTAGTCTTATTTTCCAATTTTCCTTATCTAATAAGAAGAAAATAAAAAAGACTGTGGGTGGGGAACACAGCTTTTGGTGATAAGTCCTATTACCTGTAGTTTGCACATTAAAGGAATTAATGTTCTCCATCTGAACACTTCACTGCAAAATGTGCTGTACATCTGATGAACCCATTCTTTATTTAACACTCATGCTTCTTCTAGTTTCTTAACTGTTTCCATAAAAGTAGACTACAAAAACATACGGGAATAATTTTGCTACTTAGATGAAAGCTCTTGGACGAAGAAAGATAAACTCATGTTTTCTCCATTCTTTTTCTTTTTGTCCAGTACCCAGCTGCCTTAATGAATTTGGGAGCTATTCTTCATCTCAACGGCAAACTTTTGGAGGCTGAATCAAACTATCTTCATGCCCTTCAGTTTAAACCTGATGATGTCATCACACAATCAAATCTTCGCAAACTCTGGAATATTATGGAAAAGCAAGGCTTAAGAACAACCAAAACATAATGCAGGGTTTTTAAAAAGTGTTGTTGTTTTTGCAAAGAGTTTAGAAAAAAAATTAAAATCCAAAATAACTTTTGGAGCACTGTTTTTGTTGAGTGCTCTTGCTAACTAAGCTGTAATAGTCAAAGGTTGTAATTGCTGCTAGAAGAACCCTACAGGGCTGCATTTTGATGTTTCAAATTGAAAATGAGAAAGGGGTAGAATCTTTTTGATAAGTTTCATGAAGGATTTAATAATTGTTGCCAAAATCCAGAAAATTAAAAACAATCTGAAACTGGAGCATCTGAAAGGGACCCACCTTAGCATATTCACCAGGGCATATTAGTCATTCTCACTTTGGTCATTTTTATGTGGTTTCTGGTAGAAAAGTCATGTTGGCCTACTGAGCAGCCTTCCAGTCAAATTAAGAATTTAGAAGAGGATAAAAACTGGCTTAAATTTATTTTCTTAGGCTGTAATTCATTAAATGTATACTGAAACTAAATGTGTTTGCTCTTTGTCTTGATATTGTATAACACTCCACAGACCTGCCTATTGAGTTAATTCACATACTAGCTCAACTATTTGAATTTGTTTTTTAAAGATGTGGTTTCATGGCTAATCTTCACTGGCAAATGCATATTGTTAACCTGTTTGGTTGGCTGGACGGCTGTGAATTATCCTCTGAAAGTGTAGAAACAAGCAACAATAAAGACAACTTGAAATGTAGAATTAACCATATACAATAGTACTGAATTAAGTAAATGAAGAATTAAGGCAAACTCTCTGTCATCTTCTTGTAATCTACTATGCTTCAGAGCCTCAATAGTCAATTACTTTTAAAAGTACAGCAGGTTGCTGAACCTATGCTGTACAGTAAATGCTTCTATCTTTGCTTTGCCCTGTCAAAAATGGGAATGATCCATGCTTTAAGACAGCACCTATCCACTGGGTAGGAAAATTGAACCTTGCTCACAACTTCAACGTTGTTATGCTTTGTTGCTTTAACCAGCTTGCCTTACTTCCAAAATCAGATCAGAGTTAAGCTGGAGAGCCATGTCCATAATAATTAAATGAAAAGTATGGATTTAGGTTTGTTCTTATCAACAATAGCTATTTTATTGAAAAAAGAAATCCATTTGTATACAGACATTTTAAATATGAACTGTTTAGACATATAAACAAAAATATGAATTTTCTGCCTTTTAGTACATTGAAAGCAAAGGATAGAACAGTGTGGGTGAACATGTTACTAACATTGTTTTTGAAAATATGCAACACTGGTAGCATGATTGCATCTATGGCTTGACTACGTGGTGCATCGTGCATCAAGCACACACAAAGCAAACTACTATCTCCATTAAACTGATACCCAGGTTGCCAGTTTGTTTAAATATACTTCCAAAGTATGTTGTCTTTGGATTAACAACAAATTTGTAGGCATGCATTTGGTGAATGCATTTTTGAAATGTTAGCAGCAGGATTTACCAGCTGTTTGTGAAAAATAAACTATTATGCTATCTGCAAGAAACTAAAAGAGTTTAATATTTTAAATAAATATTTAATGAATCCACAAGGTGTTAGACTAAAAGGAATTATGTGATTGACAATAGCTGCCAATTATTTTTGCATTTATTTAACTATAGATGAAGAGAAATTGTGTGCATATTCTAACCCAATTCTGCATTCTTTTTTTTTGGTTTAATATTTCAACTTATTTAGCCTAATGTTTATGATTTGCATAAAAGCATCATTTAAAAACAAGATCATTTACCAATTCCCTTTATTATTAACTAGACAAATTACACTATAATTTCAGAATGGCATATATACCCATCAGTCATTTTTATATCAGTGTGACTGGCACCAAAGAGCTCCTGTAGACATATCCAAGGGCTTGCTATGGCTGGCTTAATTTTTCATCTGTGAAATACATAGCCAATTTTAAATTCATACTTAAAGCCACCTTGAATTAAAATGGGTGGTTGTTTTAGAAATAAAGAGCTAGTTATGTGATCCTTTGCATCCTAGCACTATATCCTGCAACATCCATAGATTGAAGGTAAGGTGTCCCTAAGAATCCTCCCTATGTTAAAAAAAAGTGTATTGAATATCATTCCATTGTTATTACTTTGGAAGTGATGCATTGTTGAAGGTTTTTATTTGCCAACTGTAGCAAGTAGTCATTAGATAGGATTCCACAACTGTTGCTAGTCTTCTGGTTGCTTTTCATGGTGTGTTTTTAAATGTTTAAAGAATGTATTGATGTTTAGAAGGAAACAGGAACACATTTATTCTGTGCATTTTAGTCACCCCAGTTTTCTATGTAGAAGTATTAAGAAATAATAGGCTATTTTCTCAGCATAACCACAATTTATGTCATCCTTTGTGATACTCTGAGCTTGTTTGATTTTCCATTAGGAGTACCATTGTTAAAAACATTTTATTATTAGGTACCACCTCCTAATTTCTGTTTTCTTACATTAGCCTATTTTATTTTAGAACTTTGTGTAGATGAGTGACCTTTCAAATTTTTCCTTCCAGGTGCAGTTCCAGAAACTGTTTTAATGAGATAGAAAAAACTAAAATATTAACCAGTGAAATTCAACATTTTCACTGTTATGCATTCAGATATGGATAAAATGCAGTGTTAGCTACTGTCTATTTAACTGAACAATGTACTGTTGCATCATTTTCTCAAAACTGTAAAACCAAATGCTGTATTAATGATGAAGATTGATTTTTTTAGTATCATCCTATGCATGTATACTCAAGAGTAAATCCAATTAAATTCAATGGGTCTAACCCCATGGAATTATGTATAGGATAGCAATTTAACTGTATTAGTATGGCATTCTGAAATGTTAAATTTCAGCATCAGATGCAAGGTCAACTTCCTAGTTGTAACATTTCACTTTTCATTATACCATCTCCCTTTTTATATTTTTTATTCTTAATTACATTTCTTATACACTAGATTTCCATGAAGTCATACAGGAGTTTTGCTTGTCTCAAATCAAACAATGACAAATTGTTAAAATAAAATCTTGTTTTTCCATGCATTTTTAGTATAGGGTTAGGCTTTATATCTCTCACTTTTCAAATAAGTTTAAAATTGTTGTCTCTGCTCAGGGATTTGTGGTGGATATTGCAGACAGTGCTTAAAAATAAGAGCACAAATTTACTAAATTAAATTTTTATTTTTGGAGAAAGCATATTTGTATAAATTATCAAGATTTGTAGGGTTTCCTTTTTGTAGAAATAATTGTTTATGTGCCAGATAAGAAAACCCACTTTGTTTTCAGTAATAAATGATTGATAACAAATATACCGAAATCATTCTCATCTGTTATTATCAACACTTGATTAATTTTTATTGAATATACTGTATATTAACTATCATAATAAGAAAGTAATAGCATGTTTATTTTTATTGAAAATGGCTATATTTTATTAAATCATAACATAGTTTCTTTGATTTTAATTTATAACCCTCATAAACTATTTTCTGTAATTTGGAATTATGAGTGAACTAAGGCATATGACAAATCATGGTTCAAACAAAACACTATTTATAAACTCTGTTACACGCTAGCAATTGTGCTAGACAATGTTATTTCTCTGCATATTCCAGAATCTCAAGATAGTCTTTAGTGCTGTCTTTTACATATTCTTCACTATTTCCTGAAACAGATCAAAGATTTGCCCCTTATTATACTTTGGGGGAGAAAACCCTGAATATTAGGGATGTACTCGTTCACAAGATTCTGGGCAGGCTTCTTAATTCAGTGTTTCAGAAAATAGACATCTTTAATTATGATTTAATTCAATGTCAAAATTGTAAAAGAAATATTTTTCCATTAATTAGGATAAGAAAATCCAGTGGATTTAATTTTTTAATTGAGAATATCCTGGTTATCACTAATGAGGCAAAGACGACGTCTTGGTATCCCTCTAATTGTGACATGGAGATGCTTTAGTTTGGGAGACCCTCCCCCAGATATAGCCCATATCTTTTATTTAGAATTTTAAACGGAAAAATGAAGACTACCAATATATTTAACATAATACCTGGAGCTAAAGTATATGATGATCAGTTTCAGTGTTTACTTTTGCTCTATGAGATTTCCAAACAAAGATTTTGGTTTGGTTTGTTTTGTTTTTCCATGTAGGTGTGAAATGACAAACTTGTCTCTGGATTAGTGTGTTTTTTGTTCATGATTTTTCGGAATATAATTGATAAAAAATGAGTGCAATAGTATTTAAAGGGATTTGCAACATACCTGTTAGAATGTCTTTATGGCAATATATCTGAAATAAATATACAACACAAACAAAAATAAAAGTGTTACTAAATAGATACTCATTCAAAGTGATCAGAGAATGAGTCACTTAGTATAATTACATGCCGGGATAGCTAAATCTGATAACAGAAATGGTTTTGTTTTTTGTAATCAAAAATAGATTTTTTTAAAATTTGCTTCACACTATCCCTTAGTCTTAATTTTTTATGTTTACTGTTAAAATACTAAAATACAAAGAAAGTAGAGAAAAAAGCAAGGTGATACAAAAAAGGGAGCTTTTTACATTTGAATTACAAAACACAAAAAAGAAAAACTCCTTTTTAAGTAATATGTCCCCCTTTCTTTCCGTTTACATTTCTGACACTGAGCCACATTTTAGATAGTTAAACATTACATCAGACATCAGTAATTGTTAGCTTCCTTATGAGTCTTAAAAATCAAATTTCAAATGTCTAAACCTGCCTTACTTTGTGACATATTGTATACAAGGGAGCCATTTCCGCTTGAATTGTTAAACGTCTATTGTGGATATATATACTGTCAGTTTTGCTGTTGCAGCATATTATCCAGTGTTAGTCACCCATCTGATAGTAAGATTTCTCATTTTAGTTTCATGTACAAAATGAGTTGACTACCTCCCCCCTTCCCATTGTACTATCTTGGGGCTGTATTTTATTCTAATACAAAGCCAAAAATCATAAACATTTTGAAGCAATAAGTCCTGGTAAAGCTCCATCATGCAAAGGAAGGCTATTCTTAATAGAAGTGCTAATTCTAGCATGTTTGGGGGGGAGCTTTCTTTGGGAAGATTATGCCTGACCCTAATAATATTTGATCATGTTAAATTGCTAGTAGAACTGAGTCGGTAATGAATCAGAATCATTCATGCCAGGCCAATAAAGCCAATTATTTTGAAGGAAAAAAATGGAAAGTGCTCATCAGCATTCTTGAGATGATAATCAATCAAGTCTGCCCTTCAAAATATTCTTCTCATGACTGGGTACTACATGGCAGGCATAGCAATCAGATTTTTTTTTGTGATGTTGTAAATGGGTATCTTTTCTTTTCCCAGGCAACTGTCATAATCAATCAAGCATCTCATCATTAGCCAGCCAGCCAGGATATTGTGATGGTTGTCTAAAAAGAAACTATATGCAACTTTGCAGGAAACAATACAATACTAGCTCAGATATTCTATCAGAACATTTCAAAAATGTAATACTATATTTTGCCATAATGGGAACATCCAAGACAGTCTCCAGAGAATGCAAATATCTTTTTATAAATAAAGATAAACCAAATTCATAATAAATTTTATGCAGATAATAAATTTCCTGTTCAGCTTATAGACCTCCACAAAAAAGTCCCAAATTGTGAACCATGCTTAAAATGTATACCTACACACCCCAAAATTATTAAGGGCCACTTATATATAAATAAAAAACATTCTCATATTTGTAGCAGCAGAAGAAAAATATTTAAGAGTATAAAATATACTATAGTTTGTCATACCAAATCCATTGACTGAGTAATTACTACTCCTTTCTACCAGAAGTGATTCTTGCCTTAGGATAATGATGGTTCAGATATTATTGACCCATTCCCTAATAGTTATGATTATGCTGGGCATAATTATATTATGTTGCACTTGCTGGAAGAAGAAGAAAAGGAAGAAGGAAGGGGAGTGGGAGGAGAAAAAGGAGATTAGGAAAAACAAATTAGCAAATTCTATGTAATCGCTTCTAGGGTTCCTTTAGTAGTTTAGGATTCATAAAGTCCAAAACCTCTTTCATCTTCCGGATGTGTTCAGTTACAACTTCCATAATACCAAGTTGCTTACTGAGAGAATTTTTTGGAGATTGCAATCTAGTGCATTTGAAGAACTTCAAATGAAAGGTGACTACAGAGTCCTTAGAATTCCCTGAACTTGGTTGTTTCATTACAGTGCTTGTGAATGTGGGGTTTCCTCCTTAAAAAAGCAACAAGAAAATGAAAACCAGAACACATCTTCCCCAACAGCCAACATAAACAACTTGGGATCAATACCAGACAAACAGTCAAGCTGAAAGCAATTCCTTTATCAAGGAACTAGCAAGGAGACATACCTTCAAACAGGCAATCAAAAAGAAAGCAATAATCAAGAACCAACTAGGAAAAAAGTAATATCTCCCTGCTCCATCCTTCCACTCTCTCTCTCTCTCTCTCTCTCCCTCTCTCTCTCTCTCTCTGATCATCAGTTAATACAAATATTTTATATTATGTATTTTGTCTTTGCTGAATCTTCCTCTTTAAGAATTTAGAATACACAGTCTTATTCTACTTTAAAAGACAATTTGAAATTATAAGATACATAGGGTAGATTTTTTTTCTGCTCATGGGCAACCTCTGAAGATGAAAGAGGAGTGTCTATCTCAGAAGCACCCCAACTGTTAGTATAGTAACAATGAAGTTTCGTTTTTGCTGCTCCAACCACATTAATATGAAAAATAGGACAAGCAAGGACAAAGCAAATTGTTTTGAAACTGCTGAGTCAAAGCTTCAGTTTCTTGGAAAATTATAACATGCTTGCAAATATTCAAAGAGGGAAAAAATCTAATGAAAAATAAGTAAAAAATGGAAAAATGCTCTCCTCCTATCCTATCAGCCTAGCAAGGTTTAGTTTGGGTTCCAACTCCACAGATTGTCCTACCCATTTGTAATATGGTTCTACCTCTCCAAAATTCAGTGGGTTATTCTTGTCTCTGTAATTTTATGGGAATAGCTATTGTTTCATATGCAGACATTCAAATGTATTCAAAATGATTTTGCATAGTTTCTCAGGAAAGAAACATTTTGTTTCAAGGGCAATTCAATTAAATGTGGATTTGTAGCATTGTGTATAATAATCTTGGGACTAAATAAGTTCTTTTTCCAAACTTTGATGATGACAATTTTAAAATGTAGTGCATTTTATTACTTTGGTATGGTTCTAGTTGAAGTATGAAATTTCCAGAAGTATACAAGGAAATTAATAAAAGGCAATCTATTGTCTCTTTCTTTAATGGAAAACCATTCTTTCATTCTTCTGGTTTTTGTTCTCTTTGTGAAGACATCACTTCAGCAAATAGCAATGCTTTCCCCCGCAACGTTTACAAATGAAGGAATTCAAGTTTCCTTTTAGTGCTGTTACTGTATGTTCTTTATTAAGTGAAAAGGAACTTATGATGCCAGAAAGACTACAGTCTAGGGTCTGAGATTCGCAATAAAGCTTGCAAATATCTGGGGTGGGTAGGAAATAAATGCAACATTTCAATTTTCTCATTATTTAATTCATTATTTAATAATATTTGAATATCAGATATTATTAATCTGTTTTGAAGCTCACATTTTTTTGGTGCTGTCATTAAGTTATTCTGCTGATTGACTTGTCTGAAATCATTACTTGAATTTGATATATTTTTAAATAGCCTGGATATTTAATTTGCTCGGTGTTCTCAATGAAACAAGAAATAATTGAGAGTCAAGAATCTTAGTGGGGTTGGTTGTAGTTAGTATACGGGAGATAACCAGGAAATTCCAGGTTTATAGGTTAAATAGTGAAATTGCAATTTATTTCAGAAGAAAGACTGGCATACTTCTGCAGGCTAACCCGGAAAGCTCTGGGAATGTATCAGTGATGTACACCAAGAGATGAGTTCCATTTGAAGCAGATATTTTATCAAAAATATTTTATTTATTTATAACAATGAGAAAAATACATTTCTACCAGAAATACAAGTAGAAACAGAACAAAGTTGCTTCATCATAAAAAGATTAATTAAACTGCAACAATCAGAAGATCCAACATATTGTGTTAAATTCATTAGGCAGATTTAAAATAAACAAATGATTACAGAAAAATCAACTTCAACTCTACAATATTCCAAAACCCTCTTATTAAACAGTAGACTATAGATTAGAGATCTGAATATTTGATTTATATTTCAATCACTTTTATTAAAGATGTTCAACCAACTGTTGCACTATGCACACATTCAGTAGCAGCATATGCTCTGCCCATCTGCTAGAATCATGGCATTGTGTTACACACAATTCTAATTTTGCAGTT